TACTGCAATTTCTAGGGTGGTAACCGAACTTTACACAACTGAAGCATAGCCATTTTGCATTCAGTTTTTGCCACCGCCACGACAGCCTTAGTGCTCGGAACTTGTCACCATCCGTGGCATTATGGTTGCCTAAACAGACCGGGTAGAAGTTGGTTCCAGATGTCGCGGAAGAGTTGCCTTGCCCTGCAAAAAGTATAGCCGCTGCTGTATATTGTCGGCTTGGAAGCCTCTCCACTGTTGCTACTTTGGTAAATTACTTTGTCAGCTAATTTTCCAAATTGGCTTTGGATATGCGAACATGAGAGGACACAAATACCACCAGACATAAAAAGCTTGGCGCGCGACCGCTCAGGGTTAGTTCGGCTTGCTTAGGCTGCAGTGGTTTGGGTAAAGCAGGCACTGTCACCTCCAGCGTAGTCACCAATTCCACATCAACCTCAAAGTTCAGCTGCTCGAGAGTGATGTGGCAATTCTTCACCGTAATGGCCGGTTCCGAAAGCGCATCAGCACAGCTGGTAATGGCATTTGCGTCTTGAAGTAGGTTTTCTATTGCTGCCTTCGCGATTTGTTGGATTTGTCATAATAAGTCCTCTAAGCTTTTCCGCGCTCCGGCTCAAACCTGGCCTAGATTTGGCTGTACATAGTTGCCAATGGTCACTGTGGCTCGCCTCATTCAGTAAGGTATAAAACAGAGTAGTCGCCTTCTCTAGTCTGGCACTTTGCTCATTACACAAAACAAATTGTTTCACGAATCTTCACTAATCAACAAGTTATCCGTCAGAACCAGTTCGCTCAACCATGAGCCGTCTAGTTTCTGCCATCAGCGGACTGAGAGGAGACGCCGCAGCATTACCCACCGCGGTGGTGATGGATGCTAACAACACATCAAAGTACCGTCCGTGGTGGCTCATGCATGAAATTCGTGGAAATATTCGTGACGAACACTTTGATACTCTTAAATGGATCGGTAGGAAGTTCAAGCAATTCGATGTCGCCTTGCTCCCCATCGGGCGGCGCGCTGCCTCTCACGAAGTTCATATCATTCTAGCCTATAACAGACTTTGTTATCGGTTAAGTTTCACTTCACTAGCTATAAGTTCTGCTTCGTCTATAAGCTGCTGTTCGCTTAATTCAATAAGCAGCATTCGTGAGCGCGAACGACCGCTAAAGACCTACAACCAATACGAGAGCCAGGGAAAAGAACAACATCAAAAGGGACTTCGCTTTACTTAGCCGTATCATTGGCAAAAGCAGGCCCACGCCTGACGAATACTGCGACAAAAACAGAGACCCCAAAAGTTGCACTGTAACTGCCAAAGGCTGTCATTAATGTAACGCGTACAAAACGATCCCAACCTGATTAAAAACAACGGAACAAGCCCAGAGTTACTTTGCTAGTTACAGCATACTAATTAAATATACAAACAAACCTCAATTGTTTGCTTCCTGAAGTAGGCAACAACTAGCGCTGGGGTAGCGCTCTAACGAATTAATAACAAGGATTCGTCACCACTCGAGCCAACAATAATGCAGGTGAAACACGTGCAAGTGCTGTTGGATCACCAGAGTCATACTCGTTCTTGTTTAGAAATAACATACACCAATGCACGCTGCAAGCATTGATCTCCAGTTTAAGCAGAATTGCTTAGTGGCCTCAAAGTCAAATTCACTCAGTGAACTCAGGGTCCGGAGCCATAGATTAGTGACACAGTATGCATAAGCACAAACATGCACACGCAATGGACAGTGTGGTTACCCATCACTGCAAGGTCTCAGTGGCCACTGAGAGAAAAAATAAATAAATTGCTTTATTTCTAGGCTGGCTGCGTGCTTTGCCTTTAGGGGATCTGATCCGTTGTAACGTTACACCCAAGCTTTTGCAGGGGAATGAGATCAATGAGAGTAAAGTGGCCTTGTTTTAGTTGCGAATGCATAGGATTTGTAACGTGTACAGCTAAGGTATTGTAGGCGCTTACCTTTAACTTTACCTGGCTCTGTTAGGCGATACTTGTGCGCCTTGGTTATATTAGTGTCAAAACGTTGCACAGAGCCGTAGCTGTGCACGATCATTTGGAAGCAGGATCTAATTCAACACGAAGTTCACTTTAAATTCTTTGGAATATTTCAACACGCTCAGAAGTCACATTTGATGGTGTTTAATAAAAAGGAATAAGAGGGTTGGAAGTATGCGGAATAATCAACAGTAAAAAGAATCCCTAGAACTGCAAAAACATGTTAAACGCGCTTTTTGATGGACATACTAAGGCGGCGTACTTAACTATGACTATACAACCTCACAAAGAATATGACTAAAACTTTTGCGCTTACTTTACTGGCGCTAAACTTTAAACTAAACTTCAGAACAAAAGTAAAATCTTTTCTAAGACTAGAATATTACTAAAGCTTGTATAACAATAAGTTAATCGAAGCTGGTTATGTTAATTTGTAGGGAAATGCGATAAATGGGTAGTGGACAATTCTTCTACCGGCTGTGCCGGGCAACTTAATGTGAGGAGCGCAAACCAAACGTTAAAATCATAATCAGCGCGTTTGGAACCTGATAGAAAGGGTAAAATGGATGCTAAAATAAAAAATTGTGTAATGGTTGTTTTGACTGACGAATTTGTCGATCCGTACCTAAGGGACTCGCTGTGGTTCCTTGCCGTACCTGTCAGAGCTATGGGCGATACGTGCTTCACATTCGTCAAGGGGTCGGCAGCGATGGTTTTAAATGAGGATTGCGATAGCAATAACTCAACGGCAGCAACACAGCGGGTTGTGGACGAGGAGCAGTTATTCAAACCGCTAATAACGATTGTATGTAACAATTCAAGCGTTTAGTGAAGACTTCCCGGCATTTCAACGTCAATCCTGCACGTCATTTTTAGTGTACAATTCGAAACATGCAGGTCGATGCCGCCGAAACTGTTGTTTATGCTACAGAAAGGGATGGAATATTTGTACCTGAAGTATGTATGTGTTCATACCCACCGTAAACTTTATGAAGGCCGTGGGTGAGTACTTTCATTTATCGTGCTAAAACCGCCTAGTTAGTTAAAGAGACTGCAATTGTACCGCTGATGTCGTGTCCTTTTTTCGATGGTTCGTATAAGATAACGGATTACTCTGATGCGTAGCCACGATTTTCAAGTTGGAGAACCGTGGTTATACGTGCGTAATCGCAAGCTGTCACAGCAAGATGAGGAGCATGTTTTCGAACTCATGCAGTGTTTTAGTCTTACGCGTGAGATAAGAGATGTTACCTTCGTTATCATCCAGGTGCGCTTGGAACGTGCAGATGACAGGTTTGTACATAACCGTCACGCTAAAATGAAGCTTGGGAGCGAAGTCGTTCGAGAGAGGAGGGTACTGCAGAGTGAAGGTATATGCAACCAAGTGGACGAAGCAGGTAGCTCAGAGTATGTAGCTTATAAACCACGAAGCGTTATACCATTATCTACTTGCTTCTGCAATGTCGTCTTGGCAGACGACACATCAGCACAACCAAACTGATTATGTGCTATGGCATGCAACGCTAGTTGAAGAAACCGGCATGGCTGGTAGGATTTTCTATGCCCTCAGGCCTAACGAACGTGGACTCAGTTACCTTGATGCGGTGCAACGAACGACGAAGCATTTACTACAATTCCGTACCGGAAGACCTTGGTGCTAGATCACTGCTTCGCGCCAAGGAACGTTTTCAAAACATACATTCCAAATGCGCATGTGATCTTTTGCTGCTTCCATGTACAAGGAGATGGGCGAAAGCGCTGCGCTCATTTAGAAAGTTGCAACGCTATGGACCGCAGGAACGTTGCGACGAACAAAAGTACTTACTAAAATCCTTCCACTCATAAGTAATTACCTTGGTGTATATACAAAGCGAACCGCAGCACAACAAATTGATTGCTGCCATCGGTGTTCGAAATAAAGAAGCATTTATTTATGGTACCAGCCCGTGGCTCCCCTACACAGCAAACTGGGCAGGACACAATTTAAATGGCGTAAAATTTTTGGGCAAGTTCACCAGGAACAGCATGGTGGTAAATAATAGGCACCTTAAAGGCAGTTTGTCCGTAGGACAAGCCTCCTTCAATTGGTTAAGCAGGGTTTGCAACGGAATTATTAATTAGACCAGTCAATGGAAAGGCGCCTAGCGTAAACCCATATGAGTGAGCTCACTACTCTATCATGTTCAAGATGGTTAACCAAGGTTTTGCTTTCCTTACGGACATATCCCACTTAAGTGTTGCCGTAGCACATATCGGTAAAAAAGGTGATAAGCATGGGCGTTCCTTCCAAATGAAATGTGCAGGCGCCACAGTTTGCAACCGCATTCGTTACGCATTGGCATTTGCCGCGTGCTCATGCCATAGGGTCAAGTAGCGGCTCTCTACCACTTGACTCGAGTCCTAGCTAGATAACAACGGATTCCAACGAACCGACC